TCCATACACAACATTAACTTTCAGAAAATGAAGAACAAATTTATAGTACTTGAGGTATTTCAGCATTTTTTCTCTCTATGCTTTCATCCAGAATTCCATTGATGACACTCAAAAGTGACTGAGTTGGAGCATTCTGCACAAAAGATGATGATTATGACCTTGAAAGAATTTGCATCTCGAATGCTGAGATTCACAAATATGTAGAACTTACATCTAAGCTATTTGACTTTAACATTTCTGAAATTTTCGTAGCAGAAAGATCAGTATAAAATCCTTGTTTCATCTGAAACACTTCATGGAGCTTATTTCCACCATGCAGTAGCTTAGTTGGTGATTCTAAAAAAGAGAAAAATGTGGTAAGGAAAAATAAAGCAGGTCATGAACCCATTAGAACTGAACATATCTGAACTTATTGGACCTCAACTTCTTATTTAAACAATTAGCCCTAAGCTTCTCTAAACTTATTATTCCTAAACTTATCTGATCTGATTTTCAGTGAACTTATTAGAACTGATTAAGTGAATAAAAGGTGGGAGAATACAGCCCTGGATGTATTGTTCCTGAACTTATAAACCTTGAACTTATATTAACATCTGAAATTAGTAAAAAGGGTCTCTAACCTGGTGAAAGTGGACTACATCCACGTTGAAATTTTGAGTCTGACAATGCCTTCCGCCTTTCATCCACAGCTTTCAGAACTGATCCACCAAAATTTGGCATTGAATGTTCTTTGAGTGCTAAAAGGCAATCTAGAACAGGTTTCATTGATCCCTTCAAGCCATATAAAGCAGAAAGTTAATTCGATTAGTCTGGGTTGCCTTACCCTTAGCATTTTCTATACTAAGCTCAGAAACTTATAATACTATAACTGCTCATGGTTATTTGAAAACATTGTTAAAATACTTTTACGAGTCTAATTGAATTGGAATAATACTATCATATTTTCTAGAGGATAGGTTACACAATGCACCAAAAAGAATGGGAATGGAGGAAAGATATCAGAATCTTGTTACATTAATAGCATATGTCAAGAACAGCAATTCTGTCTTCAAAAAAAGAACAGCCATTCTGATATTCATTCTTAGCAGTGTGCATGTTACCTTTTTGAAAAAGAATAGTATTCATGCGTTCATACGCTTATCATAAGCTATCAAAATGACACTTGCAACTTAAAATCCACATATTTATTTGCAGTCAATAATACCTTCTCTAAGTCTGATGTTTCAAAACTAGGCAGCCCATTTTCAGACATGGCAGTGATAAACCTCTGAATTTTTCTTCTCTTGGACTCTGGAGAAGGACTAGAATCATCAACCTACAGAAAATCGATAACTTACTGTCAGAAAAATGTAACAATAAATATAGCCAACACCATACGAAGAAAGAGTATATATATATATATATAAAGCATCTTACTAACCTCATCATTAGAAGTGTATTTTAACTTGTGCAATATCTGACATAATATGTCGCCATCAAGCAAAGACGCTCTCATTTCCTCATCTGAAGCTTTTACTGATAGGTAAAAATGAGGGACTATCGTGTTTATCCATTCAACGAGAGACATGCGCTTTTGGACTGCAAGTAACATGTACATTCAGTCATTTTAAGAGGATTGTGGTTGAGAGACATGACAAACACAGTCTGCATTCCTTACCCTCAGCCTCGAATGTGGGACTAGACACCATTTCAAAAGCATTTCCTTTAATGTTAAACCTCGGACTGGTATTCATTATGTCAAACTTTTCAGACGTGAACTCCAAACCTCATTCATATATGATAGGGTATACGAAGCTCCACATCAATTCAATTGCTGTGAAAATCTAGACAGCGGAGAGATTCTAACTCTATTGTCTTCCACGCTACCTTAATAGGAATACCCTACAAAGAAGGATGCAACAGTCAATTACAACCTGTATAAACATACTAATAACATTCACCAGCAACAGATGATTCACACATTTTAATAAATTCATATTATGGAGTTAAGTAAATACGAGTCTTCCATCACTTTCAAGAACATCAATTCTTGAAGAATATCATGAGAATCAAAGAGATAAACCTTCGAAAGAAAATCAGCCAAAAAACTTTAACCTAAGCTTATAAAGAAGTAGCTCAATCTCTACATTATGCAGATAATTGTCATATGACATAATGCAACTGTACTAAGAACGAATTTATATAGACATTATGAAGAAATCGCGGTAACTTCAACACACTTGATGGACCCATCCCTAAGAGGGACATTGTAAATAACATATATCTTCATTCTACAACACCAATCAAAACAACAACAATACTCGAAACCGGGCTATTCATGCCGACATAACAAGATCAATTCTATCATCCAATAAAGAAAGTCATAACCATTTAAAGAACATATAATCGAACATTTGGTAGACAACCCAATTGACTTTATCACATTATATAAAATTGGACAAATTCAAATCAACCAACATAAAGGTATGTAGAAAAAAAACCAACAAATTGACAGTAATTACAGAAATTATATAACAACTTACAATTAATCAACAATGGCTGAATCAAATAACCCCACAAAAAAAAAAGGGGGGTATCAAAAAAATTAAAATTAGAGAAATTTAAAAAATAAGGAAGAATTAGTTAATACCAGAAGAAAAATGGAAGATGATGTGACGTGGGTATATTGGGAAAGAAACATGAGGAGATGTAAATGGCATGCCTTTGTTGTAGGAATAAAACAAATTGGAGACCGTTGAAATTTTGAATATTTGTTAATTGACAACATTATAATATACAATTTTAAACCGGCCACTTTCATTTTCTGTTGGAAATGGTCTAACATGGCGCCATGGCGGGAACTCTGATCTTCTTCATCTTGGTCTTTCTATGTTGGATTAGACTATTTGTATTTAATGACGGTTAGAGGTGTCGATTCGGGTGTCTAGGTCGGTTTTGCTGAATACTGGTTGGCTTGGATTAGGTTAATTTAAAATTTTGGTTGTGTTATAGATTTTATTTTATTTTGGAATAGTAAAGACATGGGACTTGTTATTCATCGCCCGCAAATCTCTACATAAAGCCCATATTTTATAATTTTTTGACAAATTTGCCCTTTTTATAATTTTAACCGAAGATAAATTTTTCGCACTAAAAAAATGTGGAGCAGCACCGGATCGCCGAGGATCACCGGAGAATCGCCGTCGTCATCGGAAAACGAGGTTCGTAACGCATCGTAAGGACGAAATGGTGGCTGGCGCCTAGCCAAAAGGCCATGCCGTGGTTGTGGCGCCTAGCCAGGACGCCGCCACCGTGGTAACGGCGCCTGGTGGAGAAGCCTCGACCATGGTAGTGGCGTATGGCCAGGACGCCGGAGCCACGGGCAGGGCGCCTGGCCAGGACGCCGCCACCATGGCGGCGGCGTCCTGACCAGGCGCCCCGGCCGTGGCTCCGGCGTCCTGACCAGGCGCCCAGGCCGTGGCTCCGGCGTCCTGGCCAGGCGCCACTAGGGGAATATATATAATTTTTTTTTTTTTTATTTTTTAATTTAATCCTTTTTTTTTTTGTTTTTTTTGTTTTGTTTTTGTTTTTTTTTTATTTGTTTGTTTGTTTTTATTTTTGTTTGTTTTTCTTTTTTTTTTTTTATTTTTTTTTTAATTTAATCCCCTTTTTTTTTTTTGGTTTTTTTGTTTTGTTTTTGTTTTTTTTTATTTGTTTGTTTGTTTTTATTTTTGTTTGTTTGTTTTGTTTTTGTTTTTTTTTATTTGTTTGTTTGTTTTTTTTTGTTTGTTTGTTTTGTTTTTGTTTTTTTTTATTTGTTTGTTTTTTTTTTTTTTGTTTGGTTTTGTTTTGTTTTTGTTTTTTTTTTGATTTGTTTTGTTTTTTTTGTTTATTTGTTTTGATTTGTTTTTGATTTTTTTTTGCTTGTGGTGTTTTATTTTATTTTGTTTTTTTTTTGGAATTTTTTTGTTTTTGTTTGCTTGTGTTGTTTTATTTCCTTTTAATTTTTTTTGGAGGGAATTAATTTTTTTTTTTTAATTAAGTTTTTTTAATGCATCTTTTATTTTGTGTTTGTTTTTGTTTTATTTTGTTTTATTTTGTTTTGTATTTGTTTATTTTTTTTTTATTATGGTTTTTTTTGTTTGTTTATTTATGTTTGATAAATTTGAAATGAAATGTGTGTTATTATTTTGTTTTTTAAATGTATTATGCGTTAAATATAAAAATGATATTTAGAAATTTAAAATTTAGAAATTGCGTTTGTGATAATTTTGTGTTAAGTGTATTAATTTAATCTTAATGTAATTATATTTATACGTTATATGTTATTGTTACAGGATTATGGTGGAGACGGAAATGATTACAGTGGGATTTTTGTACATGATGGCCTGTTCGAAGATGCTCAACAAGCGATTGATTGGGCAAAACAGGTTGCAATTAGATCAGGCTTTTGTTTAGTAGTAGCAACTCATAAATCTCAACGGGATGGTAGAATGGATCGCATTTTGAGATGCGACCGTTATCGCAAAAGAGAAGAACGAGATTTCAGTAAAGCGATTCGGTTTGACTCAAAGCGGAAAGGTTGTGGGTGTCAGTTCCGAGTTAAGGTTCGACAACATCAAAGGCGTGACGGTTGGGAAGTGAAGGGTTACGGCAAATGGGGATATCACAACCATGAGCTGATAGCATACAAAGTGGGGCATCGGCAGTTAAGCGGCCTAAGTCCAGCTGCGAAACTAGTTGTAAAAGAAATGAGTGATGCTCAAGTGAAGCCCGCTAAAATATTAGCGTCTGTGTTAGAGGAATTCCCCGAAGACCAGCCAAACCGAAGACACATCTACAACGTCAGACAGAAATTGAGGTTTGAACGGTCAGAGGGAAGGAACCCTATACAGCAGCTTCTGCACCAGGCACAAGCACGTGGTTACCTTTACTGGTTTGAATCTGACGAAGACACATCGGAGATAACTCATTTGTTCCTTGTCCATCCTGATTGTGCTGATATGATTTCGTCTTGGCCATCTGTGATTTTGATCGATTCAACGTACAAGACAAACAAGTACAAGTTCCCACTGGTTGAGATGGTTGGGATGGCTCCAACGAACCAGAACTTTCTGATTGGTTATGCAGTCATGAAGGATGAGACAGCTGCGAGTTACCGTTGGGTGTTGGAAAAGTTGAGAAACTACATCGGCCCAAATGTACAGCCATCGGCCATCGTAAGTGATTGTGAGGGAGGTCTTTTTGCCCCTATAGCGGAGCTGTTCCAGATCGTCAATAACAGCTCTGCCTGATGCACTCGTCATGCAGTCCCTTTCCTCAAAAAGTCGGTGTCCCAACTGCATAATCTTGCCCATCCACTACACAAAACAAAAAACATGAAACGACGTATTATACATATATATTAAAATAAGAGAACAACAAATAAAAGATGAGACGTACCGCATAAGAGGCAGTGGCAGGTGGCACATCGTCATCATCTGCGTCGTCGATGTCTTTGATCAACCTCGGGTGCGAGTGCCGGATGTACCATTCCATGTAGTGCTGGTCACACATGGCAGTCACCCCACTTGGCGGCCGCTGCAGCTCCGCCGTCCATAGGCGGGCAACCATCGGAAACTGCTCCCACATGGATATCATGTTTGCCGGCCATTGGACGACGTACTCCTTCGACGACGCAGATCGTACCGCCTTACTGGGCCATGCCGGTGGAGGTGGGACAACTTGGACAAATCCAAGCTGGCGAAGACAGCGCTGCGGCATGTACGCCTCTACGATCTCGCGATACTGAATCAGTCCGGCAGGAAGGTGACTCACTCTAGTGCCCCTCAATCGCCCGAACATCTCGCTCTCCTCCGGCCAAGCATCAGCCCAGCTACACAAAAACCTACAAGTCTTTTCCCGGGTTTGGCATTCCAAAATGCCTGTATCCAAAGCCCTCTCCTGGTCCTCCCAAATACGGGTAGCGATGTGTCCTAAAAAGCTAGGAATCACACTCCCGTCTATAGGTCCCCCGGCCACCTCACCCCTCACCATCCAAGAATCATTAACGGCCCTCGACCGTTTTCTGCTACCCGCAGACACAGTGGACGCAGATGATGTGCCAGATCTACTAACAAACCTACCATCTCGACCCTTACGCACATCTACCCTATGCGTCTCATACGTATCATCAAGCCTCTGACTGAATGGACCGTAATCATCATATGGTCCACTCTGATCGTCGACATCCTCATCTGCATCATCCTCGTCCTCGACCTCCTCCTCCTCGACCTCCTCCTCCTCCTCCTCATCATCATCATCATCATCTTGATCGTCCGCAGAACAGTGCACCCGTTCTCTGCGGGCCGAGGCCGAAATACCACGGGATCTAACGTGTCTGGGCCCCGAAATACCACCAGAAACAATTTTTTTTAAAAAAAAAATAGAACATAAAATTAAAACAAATAAAAAAACAAAATTTAAAAAAAAAAAAGATAAAAAAAAGGGAACATACAATTTAAAAAAAAGAAAAACAAATTTTTTTAAAAAAAAAAAAAAAATTCGAAAATAAAATTTAAAATTAAAAAAAAACAAAAAAAAATTTAAAAAAAAAAAAGAGAAGGAGGCGACTAGGCAAGACGCCCGTACGGTGGTGGCGGCGCCTAGCCCAGACGCCACTACCACGGCCGTGGCGCCTAGCCTATGCGCCGCCGTCGTGGTAGTGGCGTCTGGGCTAGGCGCCGCTACCACCGTATGGGCGTCTTGCCTAGGCGCTTCCTCCGTGGTGGTGGCGTCTCGCCTTGGCGCCCCAACGTCGCCGGAGGTTTTTTTTTTTTAAAAAAAAATTACAAAAATTTAAAAAATTACCTTCTGGCCGGCAAACCGCCTTTCGCCCACCGCCGGTGCCGCCACTTCCTTGCCGGGCCGCCTCGACATAGCTCTGGAAATAATTTAGAGAGAGAAAGTGGAAGTAGAGAGTAGAGAGAGAAATTGTGTTTTTTAGTTTGAGGGAAAAAGTGTCATTTCACTCTTATTTTGTGGGCTTTATGTAGGAATTTGCGGGCGATGTTTAACAATTCACAAAGAGATCTCCAAAATAGATTAAACTTTAAATACTACCTCTGATTCTTATTACTCGCAAGGAGTCGCAACATTTGCCAAAAGTAGATGGTTCAGATTACTCGCAAGTTGCAACAAATATTTTTCTTTCCTTCTGTAGTAAGTTTTTGGGTGCCAATTGAAAATTACACTCTAACCTTTTTAAAAAAAATAAAAACCAAACTTAATAAACTACAAATGTAATTTCATTTGATTAAACCCCAAGCTTAATTAATTTCACCCTCATTCCCATTATTTTTCTCTCTCCTCGATCCTCCAACCCCATTCTCATGGTGCCTTCGTGGGTTAAGAGTGGTGAGATCGACGGTGGTAGGTTTCAGATCATGGGTTCGTCGGTGGTTTATGAACATGGGTTCGTTGGAGGTTTCAGATCGTGGGGTTCCTTGGTGGTAAGTTGATGGGTTCGGATTGGTGGGTTCGTGGGTGGTTTGTGGGTAGATCGGTAGGTTCGTGGTTGGTGGCTTGTGGGTGGTTTTAATTTATTCCAAATATGTGGTTTAGCCGAGGTCGGTGGGTTTGGTGGGTTGTTCAGGCTCATGGGTTTGGTGGGTTGCTCCGGCTCGTAGGTTCGTGGGTTTGGTGGTCTGGGTTGCTATGGGTTGTATGTTTGGTGGGTTCAATGAGTTTTTGCGGCTCGTGGGTTCGATGGGTTGTTGCAGCTTGTGAGTTCGTGGGTGCGGTGGGTCAATAGGGTATAGGCTAAAGTCGTATCACCTAATCAAAAGTAGTACCTAAATCCTCTAACTAATGTAGATAGGGAAGTAGGGTCAAATCCTCAGGAAAACAAGTATTTCTAATCCTAATTAATTAATATAATCTAGACTATTTAGTAACCAAAATTGTTGTTATTAAAAGGGAATTAACTACGGAGATTAAGAATAGGGAAAAATCAATAATAAAGAAGTCTAGGGTCATAGATTCACCAATAATTAATATTCCGAGATAAAACATGACAATCAATAATCAACATTGCACATATAACATGATTAACAGACTCTCCAATTTATAAATAAACATAGATCTAGCAGGCTCTCTCAATTTACTAAATCTAATTTCCTATTGAAAATAGTCTTTAATATCAAATTAACATCTGCTCGATTCATCAATTTTATATTGCTATACTTTTACAATCAAATCACATCTGCTCGATTCATAATCCAATTGTAAGGAATTCAACCAATTCAATAAGAAATTATCATGCAATATCAATAATCAATAATAACAAATTATCCCTTCATATTAATTATGGATCCCCTAAGAACCCTAGAATTAAACTACTCACACATAATTAAATCTAAACAAATCAAAGCATATGAAAAAGACATGATTAAGATTAAAACAAGAAAATAAACAATAAGGGAGAGAAGAAGAAATACCGAAAGAAAGAAATATGAAATTGCACTAAAAGGGAAGAACTTGAGTTAACAATAATCACCAACTAAAATCTCTCTAAAGTTTTGAATATGAAAGAGAATAATGAAAATTTGTCCCTAAGAAAGATTACAAAAGAGTATTGATTCTAAGCTCAAAGATTAGCCAAAACAAAACACCTAAAATGCCTGAAATTACTCGTGCCCGATCAGGTGAAGGGCCGCCCGATCGAGCCCGCCTTTTTCCTCAAATGCTGCTTTCTGGGCAGCCGCCCAATCGAGCCAATGGTCGCCTGATCGGGCGCGGCTTTCTTTGGCCAAAACCTTGAGCTTCTCTTCTAAATCTTTTGGGCTTCAAATGACAAGGCCCAACACCTCTTCTTGGTCCATTGCTTGGACCAATTTCACGAACCAAGCCCTTAATCACCGATACAACCGGTCTTGGGCTACGATCAATGGTCATAACATGCTACAAGCTCCAATATCCCGTAGTGGCCGGAAAACCATATGAAAAATCGACAAATCCGGGAAATTCCTACAAAACAAATGTAATCTCTACAAAACACTAGAAACCACACACTAGTGCTAAAAGTAGCTCTGAAGAGCTCAAATAGGCATGTAAATGACCGTGGGACTGGGGATAAAATAGCACATAAAACGCGAATATCAAACTCCCCCAAGCCAAACCCTTGCTTGTCCCTAAGCAAGGCAATTAATCAAAACAAATCATAACTTCACCCCAATTTAAAATCCAAAATTTATAATACAACTCAAAGCCGATCCAACAAACATGCATCATAATCAATCACTCAAATCCATCCAATTAAACCTATCTTCCCTAACAATTTTCAAGTAGAGCAAGCCACAAGAGCATATAGAATTCAAGACTAGTGCTCACACACTCGACTCTCATTTATGTGGCGTGTAAAGAATGTACTTGACCGCTCTCCAACCAACCCCTTTATTGTGAACAATGCCCTCCCAAACTCACAACACTCGTGTGTTTAAAGACATAAGCACTTTAACCTATATAGTCGACTCGGAATATATCAAGTCATCCTTCGTATTGATAAACAACTAGTTTCACATTCATACAATTCTATGCAAAAAGGTCGGAGGGTCTTTAAAGCTTGTAATGTAAGGCTTAGGTAAAGGGCAAGAAATATTTGGGAAAATGTGAGAGCAAAGCTATGCTTAAGGGAGCCAAATCCTCATAAAACCAAGGCCAAAAATAAATTATGACCAACCATTTCCAACACGACTCAACTCCACAAAAATTCACCAAACAATCAAATTAATATCTCCCAAAATTACAATCACTTACAACTTCACTCATAAAGATATGATAATATAAAACTTGAGTGAATAAACAAACAATGAATTATTTCTTTCTTTTCTTCAAACTTCCAAAAAAAAAATCTTTTGAATTCTTCATTTTCTTTTCTTTTCTTTTCTTTTCTTTTTGAGAAATATTTTTTTCCTTTTGCTCTTTTTTTCTTTTTTATGTCACAATGGAATTTTTTAACTTTGAAACACAAATTCTCATTTTTTTTTTCCCAATCACAATATCAAAGAACAAATTACCCTTCTTATTCTCCTACATTGTACAAAACATGTGCACACTACATCTCCCTTGCCTCACTAACTATAGCTCCCCCAAGCCAAGCTTGGGACTAGTAACCAATGGGGCTTAAATAGGCTTGTAATGTGGTTAAATAAACAATAAAAGGGCACAAGCAACAACATGCATGGGTAGCAAGAAGGGAAAAAATGTATCTAATATTGTTTGAAGGCTACCTAAAGGAATGAACGCCTTCGTCCTCCTCAATGTGAATAACAATGAATCATATAAACATTACTCATAGTTGCAAACCAATACTCAAGTTCATTGACATACCAGGAACTATCACACATTCAATTCATAATCAAATCAACTAGTTGTAGACACCCATTTGTGTCTCCCCAAAACCAAACCCAGTGATGAATATCTTTCACGCCGAATGATTATCGAATGAAGTGAAAGTGTGAAAAGTCTAAGTTGCGGTTAGTTTTTATAAAAAAATCTTTCTTTTTGTTTTTGAAAACCTGCTCTATTTTATAAAAATAGCAAGTATAGTTCATTTTGGTCCATGACAAGGTTCCAATAATGATATATTTGGATGGGGCTCGAAAAGAGCTTTCCAACGATACATTATAAGCCCAATTCCGATGAATATTGAGGAAGTTATGGCCAAAATACTAAAATGGGTCCGGTTTGGTTCTTATATGCGGCCCAATGATCTAGAGGAGGGCTTGTTATTAAATATTAATTATCATTTCTAAAGTTATTAGGATTATTTATAGTCTTCTAGAATTAAATACAAGGTTCTCTTAAATCCTAAAGGGGTTAGGATTGATATTATATTTTATGAGTTTTACTTGGAATAAAAAAAAGTGTTTTATATGAAAATACGATTTTACCCTTAACACGGATTTTATGAGTTAATTTTATCAAGAAGTGGATTCCGCGTTGAAAACCTGTCATATTCCATTGCATCGCCAAACGACAATTTTTTCGCCTAGCACTGCAGTGTA